TTGGATATAGCAAGAGATTTTTGTATTCTTTAATGGGACATATTTTTACGACGATTTAAAATTTTTTTTGTACTTATCCAGATTGATTTTTTATTATTTGAGCCTTTGAGAGGTGGGTACTCTATAATATAAGGTTGATATTTTAATATTTATCTGAGTTATATATTTTTTAAATACATTTAAAAGTATTAGAAAGTTGATAAAATATTTTTTGTCACTTAGCATTTTCGTACTTTGCCAACCATTTCGGGATTGCAGTTTTTTAGAGGAATTATTTTTTATAAAGAGGAATGTTTGTTTTATATGATTTAGTAGCTGTGGATTTTTGAGATGACTTAAATTCAGTATTTGAATTATTTTTAAATGCATATATTTCATTAACAATTTCTATGTTAAATGTTAGTGATATTGATAGATATATTTTAGTTTCCAGTATATATTGAAATTAAATCTAATTTATGGGGTCTGGTGCTATAATTTTTATATTTTTTTTCTCTAACATAAGTTATCAGTTTATTGTTACATTAAAGGATAATGGTCAGATGAAAGAAACATTTCAGTTTTAAATTTGTGGTTGGATATGGTTAGATATGTTCGAAATAAAGACTTCATATATCTGGAGTTTTTTTTGGATCAATTTTGCCAATGAGTAGAGGATGGGGTGGAGATCCATTAGGTACATTTATTTATCGATAGTTATTTTATGTAATATTCTCAATTCTGGCTCTCGAATTAGTTGTAAATGATCCCCTAAAAGGATGTTTGACATTAAAGTCAAGTGTCAACCACCATTATATCTGAATGTATTAGTAAACGAATCGATTAATAACGGAAACTTCTGGTAGGTTAATTTCTTATTAGGTACCTAGGTAGTAAGTAACCCTTAGTGTACAGTATTACATATTGTAATAGAGATATGATTTATTTTGATAGAAATATTCTTTAATGTAGACAAATTGATGTGGTGGGAGAAAATAGTGAATGGTATTTATTTTTATAAGTATGGTTGAACCTGCATATGCTATATCTAATTCAGATGGTTGGATAAATGTGTTGTAAAATCAGGAATAACGAAAGTGTTATTAATAATTAGGTCTTAGATGTTTTCCGGTTACGTGTTACGAGGTTAAATTTTTCGATTTTTCTTTTAATGTTATTTTTAGTTCATTTTTATGTTGGATAATTTAATTTGCATTTCAGAAAAGTACTTATATAAAGTGGATACATTACAAGTCATTTTTTATATTTATTATAAGTATATAATATATGTATTGATAAACCCTAGGCCTATGTACATCAACTTCACTCAAAATCTAAAAGTAAATTGTTTATAATTTATATTAAGAATTCTAATTAGGTAACATAGTAGTACATGTATACGAGTAGCTTACCTACATAAAAAATGAGTGGTAATAAAACTAATTGCATACATCTATAAACTTTAAACTAGGTATTTACTTCTAAATAACAAAGTGTCTATAATTATCATTTATTGTTTGTTAAGGTTGATTAAAAAGTTATCCTAAACACTACATAAGCTATAAAGTATAAAGTATATTGTATAATATAGGTACTATCCTTATTAGTTTTTAGTTTTTAACCATAAGCTAATAAGTATAAATAAATTATATGTATATTTTATAATCAACAAATATTCTAAATTGTATTGAAATTAAATTTGACACAAAAACCCGCTGAATATAATATTTTGTTTATTTTAATTTTTAATCAATACAAGAATTGAAATTTTAGTTTTGACTTTTGAGTGTATGTGTAGCTATATATTTATAAAAAATAAAGGTTTATTGAAATTTCTAAAATCAATAAATAATCAATGTATGATAGTAATTATAAATTATAATTTACAATATAATATAATTTATACTGTAAATCCTATTAAAATAATTTTGAACATAAAAAACGTTTTATGGGCCCTTTTATTGGTGAAATAAATAAACTTTTTCATCTAAGAAATTAAAAAGACTGGACGCCAAATAAAACCAAATATTAATGTAATGCAATACCTAATGATAAATTTAAAGGTGGGTAATTTATTATTCTCAAGTCTTAACAAACCCCATAATCACATAACCATTTATTATATTTAATTTGTTTGAATACAATTTTCAACTGAATGCAAAATAGTATGTACTACCTATTCGTATTCTCGGACTTAATAAAATATTTTAAATGACTTAATAACAGCTATAGTATGCATTTTGTACATTTTGACATATTGTTATAAATTATGGTTTGTCATCTATACTGCATAAATAATTTTTATTTAATGATTATCTTGCAATTTTCTCTTATTAATGATTTAATGGTTATCGGCAGGTACCAAGTCGTCTTTACAAACGAAATTCCATAGTTATGCCGTGTTCTCGCTCACAATACCCACGTCCCATAATTTATTTCTTCAATCTGTCGCCCGTCCGCCCGTCTGTCCATCTATCTCTACGCGTCAATGGCTAAAGCAGACATCTAACATGCACTCTATACATGTATATTATATATATAGGTATATATTATTATACGAGATGGTCTGGCGACTTTTCGGTTCACAACTGCTCGAAAGCAGGTAAGGGGAGGCAACGCACGCGGTTAGGGACTGATAGTGTGTAAAGGAACAGACGATGGAGGAAGAGGTTAGGCTGAGTGCGGTGGTAGAGGCGGCGAGCGGTTCCCTGGCAAAGTAGGTACGCTTTCAGAGCATCGCCGCCGACGACGACTACTACTACGGCGGCGGCCGCCGCGGACGATCGATCGAACTGCTTTGACCCGGGTGTGACTGCCGTTGCTGGCGTTTTCGCAAGGATATTATTTTATGCATGCGAACGCCCTTTACTTTCAGTTATCATCTTTTCCAAATTACCTCGTCTCACCGTCACCCTTTAACACATACCCAAAACCCGTTCAGAACAATTATTTTTTTAATACTTAATTACTATGACGACGTATCATTATAAGTACCTATCCTCGTGTGCAGCCCGTCGTACGACAACAAAAACAACAACAATGACGACGACGACGCAGTTCGGTATTCTTGAGTGCGTGTCCCGCAAAACGGGCGAGGTCTCAGTTTCCTTTGGGGATTATCACTAATATTTTAGAACGTCCTCATTCTATACGTAGCTCATAGTACCAATATTAGGTATTTATTTAAATTATTTAACGTATTTAAATATAGCAAACGTAAATAAAATGAACACGAAATTGTTTTCGTACCGGTTTTATTCTCATTCGATATTATGTAGGACACCTAGCAGCTCTTAAACTGCGGTCCGTGGCCCCCTGGGAGTCCGTGACACTCATGCGGTGGTCCACGGAATTATCAAGTAAAGCTTTGAAAGTTTTAATTCCATTCCCCGCAACTTATTTATCCGAAAAAGCCTTCTCCCGGCCAGTTGTTTATATTAAAAACAAGTTTTGAAACCTCACAGAAAACATAAAATCTTAACTACGATTAAAGCTTTCGAGTATTGAGCATACGATACTCGAATACCTATGTTTGGAATGCAACACCACCCCTTGTCATTAAGTAATAGAAATAAAATATGTCTAATATTTAATTTCTTTTATAAAATAATTAGGTACCTATATTAAAAATAATAATGAAACATTTAATACAATTTTGTGTACCTCCTTATGTGATTTGTAATATTGTAGTATTGGCTGTGATAACGAGATTTACTGTGAACAGTTTCGTAAAAAAAAAATGTTATTCAAAAGAAAATTGGGAAGGGGTCTGCGTACCTTAAACATTTAAGAACCACTGGATGATATAGTTTTTCCACTTAGAAAATAATATTGTTACAAAAATATTTTCATATTAGGAAACCTATAGATACGTAACGTCGGATAAAGCCACCTATATGGCTATATCATTGGTTAGTTTTATCATAAATAGATAACAATTATCACATTTTAATATATTATTATAATATTAGTGTTATATCTAGTTTAGAAGTGTTGCTAAACTAATAATATATTCACGAAAAAATGTAACTTCTGATATTAGTATATATTACGTTTTTCCCAAAGCGTGTTGTGTACCTTATATATTTGAATTTTTCGTTTTTAAATTATGCGTGTGAATAAAAACGTATAATTCGTATCCAAATTCATAATTCATGTAGGTAATGTATGCATGTACACATAATTAGTAGTTATTGGGAGAATGGAAATTACAGTAAATATATTATGCCGTGCGTGTGAAAATTGTCAAGCATGATTAATAGATGTTTGCTTACATTGATGGGCGCAAATATTTAACAAAAAAAAGATAAAAAGATTTAAAGGAATTGTGTAAACAAATAGCGTCGTCAGCATAAAATTTCAAAATTAAAAAAAAAATATCATTTAATCTTTTAAACATTTTCTCTGATATTGATTTTTTATATGTATATTTAACAAGAGAAAAAACGTGACGACTGTTGAAACAGACAGTTATCTCTCTAGGTATATGTATATTATATATATGTTTTTTCGTTTTATAAATAATATCACTCGGCAAAGGTAATATAATGAAATATTCATTATGTCGGTAATTGATTTAATTAACAAAAATACGTTTAATTTTCGTATTTTTTTTTTATTTTGAATGCATATTTTACTGTCGAATAATTACCGTTATAATAACAATTCATTTATTAGAATTTGCTATATGGAAACGTGCAGATAGTAAATAATACATTCATACATATATCATAAGCTTCATTTACTTCGTAAAATATCATAAATTGAATTATTTCAACACTACACTATACAGAACTTTTCCGTGACGAATAATTTATATTATATTTATTTTTGGACTTTTCCCATATCAATTTCCGGTACGATAGTTGATAGACCTACTCGTTGTTATAGTATTGTTACTACAGTGATCACTTAATTGTTAAGCTCAATGTTATTTAGGACCTAAAACAGCTCTAAATTGAAATTTTATTCGTGATAATTAATTGTCCACCAATTGAATTTAAAATATAGTTTTAACGATCATGGCCGAGTACGCGTTGTCCTCCTTGAACGAGATCGACGCAGCGCTACGCGACACAGCCAAGCCGTGGCACAGTCTGTTCGCCTGGGCCGAAGAACGGAGCGGTATCAGCCGTTTGAAACTGTTCTTCGGAATCGTTTGCGCCACGTGCATGTTTCTGATCCCGGGCAGCATGAGCGCGATGCTGGTGAGTGACGTGCTAGGATTCGCGTATCCCGCTTACGCGACTATCGTGCTGATGATGGACTCTGTCGGACAGTTACCTTCCGGCGTGGCCAGCTCGCCAACAAACGGTTCCGAGTCCGTGTCGCCGGCCAACCGATGGTTCACGTATTGGTTGCTGTTGGCGGCCACGTTGACGGTGCAGCAGCTGTGCGGGGGCCTACTGCGGTTGGTGCCGTTTTATTGCTTGATGAAGACCGCTTTTTTTGCGTGGTGTGCCGCACCGATCGAGGCCAACGGTGCCGCGTACGTGTACGTCGTCGTCGTGCGCCGATTTTTCAACCAAGGTCGTTGACCAACCTCACGAACAGGACAAGTCCTGTATATATCTACGCTAATAATATTTGTAAATATAATTGTATTTATTCACTAGGTATATTGATAAAACAAATTCGTAAAAAACATCATATTTTATGTATCCATATTTCAGAAGTCAACAAGAAAATGAAGACCCCAATTTGTCTGTAACACATAATTTCTGATACGTATTGTCTAATTTATAGTATAAGTGGTATTATTCTTATCAAAATAATGCGTAAGCAAGGTTTAAGATACCTAAAATTCAACCAAGGTCGTTGACCAGCCGCACGAACAGGACAAGTCCGATTTTTGTACGTTTTTTAGTTAGTAAAAATTTTGTTTGGCTTTATTTTTACTAACTAAAAAATCGGACTTGTCCTATTCGTGCGGCTGGTCAACGACCTTGGTTGAATTTTAGGTATCTTAGACCTTGCTTACGCATTATTTTCATAAGAATATTACCACTTATACTATAAATTAGACAATACGTATCAGAAATTATGTGTTACAGACAAATTGGGGTCTTCATTTTCTTGTTAACTTCTGAAATATGGATACATAAAATATGATGTGTTTTACGAATTTGTTTTATCAATATACCTAGTGAATAAATACAATTATATTTACAAATATTATTAGCGTAGATATATGATATATGTATTTTGTTTGATAAATATTATAATAAAAACAAAATTGTATACATTTTAAAAATAGTTTTAATATTTAATTTAACCAGTATTTTTTTTAATTAGTGGATTAAATATCCATTGACATTTGAACAGAAATGGAATTTATTTATCGTATACATTTAAAAGAGGGCATTATTTGAATGGACTTAATTGTTGCCGACATAATAATGTGGACATAACATCTAGAAATCATACTTAAATAGTTGAAAGTGTTGAAACTTTTATCCATGGTATTAATAACGAATATAAAACAAAAAAATGACCGATACATGTAAAATTAGTGCATTCCTAATTTTAACAGACAGGTTACTTTAATCCTCCTCGGAGGCGTCATAAAAGATTTTCGTACATTTATGCAGTTTTCCCCAAAGTCATTTTTCCGCCCAGGCTATCAAGGTCGTTCTCTAGGTACATTCATGGTATATTTACTCATTTATGTACTCTTAATAATACAATTTGCCATTTGGGAGCATAATTAAAATAATGACAGTCTAGGGATAACCTGATATTTTTAAAACAATTTATCACTTTATGCTCAGACACTAATATGTGTCATTATTGTGTTTGTAAAAAATACTCATTGCCTAACGCATGGTTTCAATTTCTTTTATAAGTTGTGAATTTAACATGTTACTATTAATTATTAACAATTTACCGATACCTTTCACATAGGTAACATTAAAACTTTTAATAACTAGTAGGTAAGTAATTAACACAAGAAAACGACTATAAGAATAGTCTCATAATCATTGATGTAAATAGAAAATCTCGAACTAATGGTTTCAATAAATATATAGGTAGGTAGTCTGGTAGTAGTTTAGTATTTAAGTATGTACAAGAATAGTTCCAAACTAAAGGATATAATGACCATAATGTATAGATGTATGATGAACCAATATATTGTTATTCATTTTCAATTGAATAGCGAAGATACTTAAAATAATGGTAGGTACACACGTAAACGTAATAATTTATTAATTAACAGTGTTTACCTTGATAGGAACAATAAAAAAATACAAAAGAATAATAATATAATATGTGTAATCAATTTTTTTTTCTTACTAAAAACTAAAAAGTAAAAGTACATTAAAAATTAATAGAATTTACATTAAAAGCCTAAAATATAATCTTTATAACTAAATCTGGGTAAAAATTGTTTACAACTTTACTTTAGAATTTTATGTTAAAAGCAGTAAATTATATGCGATAACGTTAAAAATTAAATTAAATCTGAATAGATATCAATTTCTTATCGTAACTAATGTATAACCCAAAATATAATTTCATAAATTCTTTCATTATGTTAATAAAAAATTATAACAGAATGTCCCACGTGAAGATATATTATTTGTATGTAGGTAATGAGAATAACGTCAGCTTCATAGACTTACAATTTACATGTTATATAAACTAGTAAGTTAGTATTTTGGGAGCCCGGTTTTTTTAAAATATGGGTAATTATTTACATATTTTTGTTAATTGTTTCACATTTATTAAGGAGACTTATTTTGTTTCAAACATAATATATATGTATTCTTTTTGGTTTACAGTTTTTATTTCTTCTGAAATATTTCGGGATATTTTATTTATATTATAAAAGTCTTGATATATTTTAATCAAAAAAATAGAGTAAATGTTAATTTAAACTTAAAATAATGAAGTATATTTATAACATTAGATGCTTTGGTACTTGTATTAATGTATAATTTTATATAATAATATAACCCAGCTTTAAATTTAACAAATTAACAATTTAAATAATAATAAGTTTTTTTTACAAATAAAAATATCAACTTTATACTTATGAAACATTTTATTTAATTTTAACAATATTTTATAATTTATCAAACTGTTATTTAATATCAATTAAATATTTGTTTTAAAGTACTTTTCATGTTACAAGTTTCATTATTCATAATTTGATGTTGAAAAGTTTATAAAATCGTAAAATATTAAGTATTTAAACGTTCTAAAGATTAATTTTTTTCTAAGTATACAACTAATTAAATTTGTGAACAAAAAGTACCTACTTGAATGTAACATATTATGTTATAATTTCAGAATTTCTGTTATTTTATATCTATAATATTAAATGAAAATGTTGAATACAATTTTCAGGGAATCATTAGAGTAGATATAAAATTTAATTCAAAAAGGAGAAATAATTAAACCATAAAAATGAAGTAAAAAATGTTTGTACTAAGTGGGAAGTATCTATATAAAATAATTATGGGGGGACGGAGTGGCTGAGCGGACTAAGGCGTCCGTGTGTGAACCGACGCTGGTTCGATACTTTGGGCCATGGGTGGCATTTTTCTTCGAGCAAGTCACGATGTCCGGAGAACAAAGGTTCCGCCATCCCCCACCCGGGGCATGGCAGAAACCTACGGGTGCCCCATTAAAATTCTGCCAAAACACAACACACACGTGTACCAACCGCTACCCAACCTAAAACCCCACAGTTCCCTCCCCACACCCAATGGCCTATGTTTCCGCGGGTTATCCAATTAAATAAAAAAATTAAGATTTTGCAAATATTTTTCAAAGATGATTCCAAAACTCAATAAATAATAATATAAAATAAACATAACCACTTTATAAAACAGACAATAGCTGTAGAACTTAATACTTATATAATCTATATACTATTATATAAAGAGGAAAGATTTGTTTGTTTGTAACGAATAAACTTAAAAACTACTTCAAAAATTCTTTCACCAATAGAAAGCTACATTCTTTGTGAGTGTCATAGGCATAAATTTAGTCCGATAAAATGAATAAATAATTAGTTATTATGAATAATTAAAATAAACGTGAAACGTGTGAATTGTATACCTATATATGGCACGGTAGCCATTGGGTTTCAAGCTACCTGCAACCTGACCTTTTTTTCTTCAGTGTGCTTTAACCATAGACCTTATACTAGGTATAAGGTCCATGGTTTTAATGGAGTGCAGATAAAAGTTGTTCTGAGAAGTAAAATTCGACAATCTACCTGTATAAATATACCATATACGTAGGTATAATGTAAAATATTTACATTAAAGTTTAACATTTAGTTCAAAATATGTTGTTTGAAACATGTAATAATCTTATCACGAACTAAATCAATATTGGTAATTATGATAAAATTACGGATTTCCTACTTGGTACCTATTATGCTGTTGCACATTGTCCGCGATCCGACATAGTTGGATTGCCTACCAGGGTGTCTGAGTTGCACTTACTGCAACGAGTTACACCCAAAAAGAGTTGAACAATCACAATTTTTTTAAGAGCTGTCCTTTTTGTACGCGGGATCAGTTAGTATATAATAAACTATGTAGGTACCGTTAATCATGTCCAATAATGCTTATACTATTAAATGAAATCTCGAGGTATCTAATTTACAGTGATAATTAGTTTTAAACGATAACAAACTGCAGTACCTATAATTTTAAATATTTTATTATATACCTATCTATTTTAGTTCATGAATGTTTTAATTTTTTAATCTTTTTTATCAAAATAATTTCCCTTATTCAAATATTTTTCGTTTGATTTTGTCTCAAGTTATAACTTTGAAGGGCCTAGTGTAGAAGTACTTGTAATCAGTGTCGCTCTCCGTATTCATCGAGTGTATATTGTAGGTTTTGATGGCTTTTTTATTTCACCTTTTACCGTCCTTCTCTTTTTCAGTCACTATATTATTTCTCTTGTATGATAAAAAGACTCGTTCACGTGTTATCGTCAGCTTGTCTCACCGGAAGCGTTGTTACGTTGCCTATAGACTGTCGTCTGGACCGCTTTTCAGTAGTCCCCGACTAATCTTACAACTTGATAATGGTCAATTAATGTGTCCATACTCTATACATATATTTTACATTAGAAGTAAATTTAGAAATTTAGATGTATTTGTGTGAGTGAATGTTTATAAGAAGACCCTGAAGCAGTTTTGGCGGGGAGTGCCAGCGAAAGAGCGCTTCACTATATTTTCACTATAGTTAATGTCCTAGTATCGATTTTGGTGCGTGGTTGACTCAGGCAGCCGGTCGACTGGTGAGAGTGGGTGGTTAGCGGTAGGAGATGCCAAAAGATAGGGTGGATAGTGGTGGGTGGTGGGATGGATAAAATTCTGGCAACAAAGGGGCTTCTTTTACCAGGTCCGCGCAAAAGGCTTCTCTCTCTTTCTCTATGTCTCTTTCTCTTTCTCTCTCTATCTATCTCCCGTTCTCTTCCACCATCTCTTTATCACTGTTTCTCGTTCACCCCAAGACACCAGCGGGCTCGTGTTTCCAAACCCGCATTAATGGTTATGTTGGCTAAA